GATTTACATCACAAACCAAAAATATTATTATAGACCTTAGAGACAGAGGGATAGGACTGAAATACGTATTGTAGCCCAGCCATATCCTATAAACATCCTATCATATGCTGTAGTAGAGCTTCTTCCCATCCAAACACACCCAAGGCCATGCTGTGCTATGGCAATACTATACACAGTCCAGTGTCACTGAGAGCAGCTCAGGAGGGAGCAATGGGAATGGAATATATGTACACTTTAGAACCAGGTTAGTCTGCATTCCAGCCTCAGTTCTGATGTTTACTAGCTGTGCAAACTTGGGGAAATACAATAGCTTAAAATTTCTGAATTTTGATTTCCTCATTTGAAAATGGCACTACTTCACACATTATTGTGGGTGGTTCAGAAGACTGAATAATTTGATATTTGTCACAACATCTAATAGAATGCCTGGAACTTAGTAAACACTCCACAAATGTTGGCTTCATTCTCTTCCTTGCTTGCCTTTTTCTTTTTCAAACACACCTCATTACAAACTAAGAAAATACATATTTTTGGCAAACACAAACAAAAAGAAGTGATTCCTGATCATGGTTTGGCAAAATTTCAACTTGTCAGCAATTATTTTCAGAAATGTCACACAGTTCTCAAATTAAAGATAATTTTAACTTAATTATTTAAAAATGGTACCTGAGCACAGTGGCTGGTGTCACAAAATAAAATAATAACAACTGTAGTAGTTATCAAGAGGTTGGGAATCCCCACAGCAAAACAAAAGGAGAAGTGGAAATTTGACATTTAAGAAAGAACCAGATAGGATCTTCAAAACCAAGAACCAATTACTATAAAGGGTAAGCACAAATGAAGCACTTGACTAATAAGATAGTTTTTCATGCTGTTAGGTGATTAAAGTCACAACAGAGTGATTCCTACAATGAATCATACATGACAATTTTATATACATAAGTATTGCAATAGAAACAAAAGGTAATGGGAAGGTAATTTTTGTTGTAATAATATTTAGAATTTAACATAAAGAGAATTGTTGTCTATATTTCCAAGAACATATAGGAAATGGCCAATTACAAGAGGATACAGTAAAAATTAATAAGAAACTAAACATATATAAAAAGTCTCAAATTTTCAAGCCTATTTGAGTTGAATTTTGAAACTATGTACAATATGAAGAGATGTTTTATGTAATATCTTATTATTACAAATGAAAGGAAAATTCTGAATTTAATCATTACTGACATACATACACATATGACATCATTTCAAATTATTCTCTGTATAAACTTTGGAAGTGAATGTTAGTCGTCAGGGGTCTGCTGGTTGTGTTGTTGCCCCTTAAGCTGCAGTGCAGGCATCGGTAATGGGATGGATACCACACATGAAATGTGTGGGTAATTTGATTCTTTTATATGTTAGGACATAGTAAAGAACAAAACTGACAAAAATCCTTCTCACAGAGTTTACATACTACAGCAAATATTTTTTAAGTGAGTTATAAATATGTTAAAAGATAAAAGGGTCATGGAGAGAAGTAAAGCAAAAGGGTACATGATTGGGTTTTGAGAATTGGAAATAGTTTAAGAGTGTTTTGGGGTATTGAGGAGAAATTAGAGGGAACAGAAACGTTAATGGAGATTAGAGAGATTTAAATGCAGATTATAGCAGGGGGAATTGGAAATTATGATAATAGAATCTTAAGGTCATCAGGAGGATTAGATCTCATTTAGGAAATCTTCATTCTTCAGAGTATGAGACAGAAATTCCTAGAGTTTAAAGAATAGGGAGTAGAAATAGAATGAAAAGAAAGATATTTTGAAATAGTATTCATCCCTTTAGATTACTACTGTCACCTATCCTGAGCACAAATATTTTCTTATGACCCAGAACCAAATGTTCTCAGTTTCACTCTACTGAAGACATTAAATATAAGTGCAAGGCAAAAGTGTAAGGTTGTTGGCTATTTGAAGATCTTCTCTGTTGCCCTCAGATGTGATTCCATCCCTTCCAGTGGATGAGTGGGAGAAAGTCTCTCTTAAATAAACTCACTCTCCAGGCCCTGCATGGTGAGGCTGGCCTGAATGGGGTTTGGGCTGAGAGGAGAGGCCTGAAATACCCAAATAGTCCTTCCCTTTCTGAGGATCTGGTGGTGAGAACCCTGTTTAGGCCTCCTCCATTGTGCAGGCAAATGATTCCTTCCTCTGGTGATCTTTTATACAACAAAAACTTGAAGAGGAATTTGCACTTTTTCTAATGGTGCTCAAGGAATCATCAACCTGGAGGTCTGTTGACCATAGGGAGCCAACACCGGAAGCCAATTCTTTCTTCTTCTTCTTCTTTTTTTTCTTAACACTGTACAACCCTCTTCAGTGCTCACAGCCCACAGGTAAGGAGGCTGGGCAATGGTTGAAGGCTGCAATTCACTCTGGCATGGGTATACTATGAGAGGCCCACAGACAAGAGCCTGCCATAAATCCATTACCATGCTCCAGAAGCCAGTACTTTTTTTTTAAATCCTCACCTGAGGATTTTTTAAAAAGTTGATTTGGGAGAAAGAGAGAAACATTGATCAGTTGCATCCCATATGTACCCCAAACAGGGATCAAACCAGCAACCTTTAGGTGTACGGGATGATGCTCCAACCAACTGAGCCACCTGGCCAGGACAGAAGCTAACTCTTAAATGAACAAGAATTAACCTATTTTTAGGAGGTGGCATTTTAGTTTCCATTCACCATTCTTCATAGGTCACAGTGATGACTCTGAGGTTTCTGAGGAACTTCTAGGCTCGAGTCGTCATGACTTCAGCACCTTATCTAGTTTCCTGAAGCCTATTACTCCCAGAGGGGCAAAACTGGAACACCTGTTTGTCATGGGTTTTGCCCTTTGTTCCCAGGCTTAGTGGCTTTGCCTTCATATGGATGGGGTAAATAAGAGACACATTTCATAGAGCTGGTAGAATATAACTTAAGAGCTAGAAGCCAGTAAGTCAGGTGTATGTCCATCAGCACCAGAGTCCTGTAGCAGAGATTCAAATAGCAGCAAATTTCTTATTGGATAATGAATAGAACAGAGGAGATGGTAATGATAATGGTAGAGCAAGCTTTAGCTTTGAAGAATTCTGTGGGAGTCAGGATTACAAATCCTTACAATCCCTAATGCATTAATCATAAACATTCTTTAGCTAGATTAATATATTTACTGGGAAGTTTAACACTGTCCCAAATTCAATGACAGGAAGCCTTTCCTTTAGAGTAGTCTGAGGTGACCCCCTTGACTGGCGATTGGATAAGTGCCAGAAAAGTTCAACTAAAAATCTCTGCATTCACTTTAATCTTAAATTGTTTTGAAATCTGTTGGTAGGCAGAATGGGAAACTTTTCCCTAACTTCAAGAAAGTCCAGGAAAGAGTACAGAGAATGATCAAAGGGGTTGAAAATAGAGTCTAGGAGAAGAATTTAAAAGAAGGGAGCTGCCTTTGCATGGAGAAAGAAGAGCAGGCTGGAAGTAACAATTAAAATGGCTTTGAAAGCTTCAAAGATTTCCTATTCATAGTCATCCATCCATTCATTTATTCACCCAAAGTGCCATGCACTGAGGGACATGAAGAAGGACAAAAATAGAGGTAGACAGAACAAGTCTTTGGTTTAAAAAAATCTCCTCTCTATTGCCAGTGACCCAGATTTGAACAAAGTTGAGTGTAGGTTGGGCACAAGCAGGAAATAAGTCTGAAGTGAAGGGATTTGAGAAATTGCCACAGTAGCAGTGGAAATAAATACAACCCTGCCTGCCATTTGCTTATGAGAACTACTTCTGCCTAAGTGGTGAAGTAATTTTCGGGGCTGATGGAGAGAATTTCCATCAGAAAAAAAGTTACAGCTTCAATTTTGTAGTTCTGAATATTCTGTGATAGGCCTTGTGTGGTCAGTATTAAGTAAGGCAAATATTTCATGGTTTCCAGTGTGCTTTTCATCTATACTCTCTACTGTGTGATTTATATCAGGGTCTATCCAGACCACAGAAATAGCACAAAAGAAAAAACCATAATGAAATTTCTTCCCACCACACTGCAGTTAACAAAAAACTCCATGGCCATGTTTACCAAGAAAACAGTAGGTATGAATTCACAGTAACCAGTTGGGTTACTAAGTGTTGAGTTCCTCTGAGCCACAGGTTCTTGGAATTGCCCAACTCTTGATTAACTGAGAGTTACCATTTAGTTACCATTACATATAAAATTGTGACTTTATATCACAAATATAGGGATGATCTTTTACTTTATTTAAATTGTATGAACAAAAAAATCTTGATGATTCAAATACCAATATACTGTTTTTTGTTTGTTTTTTTAACTTGTAGATTTTGGGTTGACTCTAACAACTTAAATAGGTAAGTTTAAATTTTTTTAGCCATATGTAAATCCAATTTAAAAACTTATGAGAAACCAAGACAAGAGACACAGAATTTTATAAAATGAAGGAACTGCTCAGAAGGGCAATTGCTAGTCAATATTTTCAATATTCAATTATCTTTGTGGGAATTTAAAAATGAATTTAATTTTTTAAGAACAGAATTATCTGTTATGGGTCTCTCCAATATGCAAACTACCCATACCTAAAATTATGAGGAATCAAAAAGTTGTTCTTACTGTGTTCTTTCTTTCTTTATTATATATACTATTATAAATTGAATAGGTCAATTTAAAGAAATTGTGCACTTATAATCAAATCCTTTAAATAACATTTTGACAAAAAGTTTCTACTTTGTGCAAAGCACTTTGTTTTCTCCTAAAAATAATACTTAAATACATGCAAATATAAATTTATATATATGTAATTTATTAATGTAGCACATGAGACAGTTACTGGAAAAAAGTTTCTAAATATATATCCAATTGTATGCCATATGCACCTAATTCAATAGAAGTGGCAAGTGTTTAATTAATATCCACCTGTTGCTCCTCCATCCTGAAACAATGTCTTATAAATCAAGTGCCCATCTGTTCAGAGCTTACCTGTCTCGCTTCCAATCAAAGGCTGATTTGCAAAATGCTTGACAAAATCCTTCAAAGATGGGAATTCATTAAAGCCAAATTTAAATGAATATCCAGTATATTCAACATGAAAGTGTTTGACAGAGTCTTTGGCTCTGAAAGGAAAAAATAAATGCTTAATGTTATTTAACAAATAAATATCATTTTTGAAGGGAAATAGGTATTTGTATCACCATTAAACCCCCCTAAAAACTGCCAATTATGACACAATCACTGAAATCATTGGCATTTTTAAAGCACAGGGTTTGTTTATTTGTTTGTTTGTTTGTTTTTTGGCAAACTGTGCTCTTAGCAATTTTTCACTCCAGTGGAAGATAAGAGACAATCATCCCTGTGCATTCTGTCACTTGTCAAAAGAGTCTTTGCACATTAACCTCCCCAAAGAGCATGAATTTAAGAAGGATAGGGAAAAGAGATGATGGAAATGACAGGTCACATCTTCCCCACATTCTCCTCTGTCTTTGGCCTAACTTCCTTACTTGTTTGGCAGTCAGTCTGAATTCTACTTCTGTCACTGAATTAGTTATGTGAGTCCAGCCCTTTTCCTCCCATGCCAGTTCCACTGCCTACTGACTAAAATATCAAATTCCCTACATTTCATATTCCACTTCATTTTTGGAGTGAGGCAGAGTATTAAATTATAAATTATATATAGCATATATAAGATCTGTCCAAAAAAAGTCCAGCCAATGTTAATACAATGAGAATGGGTTGTACAACATCGATATAACTTGGCATCCAAGGAGAGTCGACTGGAATGTGCATGCATGAGCAATGACAACTTTGCCATACTAGTAAGTGGGGGTGGTAGACACCATTGAGTGAGCATGTGTACTGTGTGGCCATCGTATTCAAAATGACTGAGTGAGTAGAGCAATGAATCTGCATCAAATTTTGTGTTAAGCTTAAATGTTTCTCTGCAGAAGTGGTTGAGATGATTCACAAGGCTATAGCTAAGGGAAACTGGTGATTGGCAGCTTCATCATGGCAACACACTCACTCATGCATCATGTCTCATACAGTGTTTCTGGGGAAACATCAAATCACCCCATTGACTAAGTCCCCCTACAGCCCATATTGGGCACCCTGTGACTTCTGGCTTTTCCCAAAACTAAAGTCACCTTTGAAAGGGAAGAAATCTCAGACCATCAATAAGATTCAGGAAAATACAACGGGGCAGCTGATGGCAATTGGGAGAACTGTGTGAGTCCTCAAGTCACCTACTTTGAAGGGGACTGATGCATTATTGTCCTATGTACAGTATTTCTTGTATCTTATATCTTGTTCAATAAATGTCTTTATTTTTTATACTACATGGCTGGATACCTTATGGACACACTTTTACATTTTATTTGAATTTCACTACTCCTCTCCTCTCTGTGCAGGGCAAGCTCTAGCTGTCACATGCATCAAGAAACCAGAATCAGCTCTGGCAGGGTAGCTCAGTTCGTTAGAGCATTACCCTGATATGCTAAGGTTTCAGGTTGGATCCCTGGTCAGAGCACATACAAGAATTATCTAGTGAATGCATAAATAAGTGGAACAACAAATTGATGTCTCTGTCTGTCAATTTGACGAAAATTCAGAATCACTTGGAGGTCTTGTTAAAACCTTGATTCCTGGGCCCTACCTCCTGAATTCCTGATTCAGTAGGTCCAGATGGTGCCTGAAAATCTGCATTCCTATCACATTCTCAGGTGATGCTACTGGTCTGGGGACCACACCTTGAGAACTGCTGCTCTAGTCCAGCTGGACCTACATTTCTCCTAGGACTTTTCACGTTGTCCCTTAGCTCATAGAGTTCCCTTCACCTGCAACTTTTTCCTCTTTGTTTCTGACAAAGTGTCTATTCAAATACCACCTACTCTGACAAATATTGCAAGATTTGTCCAGCTTGAGTTACTTGCTTTTTCTCTTCTAAGAATCCAAGCACTTATTTTGCTGTCTTTCATGTTATTTATTGCACTCTACTTTGTAGTGATGTATTTGGAAATATATTATTACTCATGTAATGCTACACTTCCTAAGGGCAAATTCTTTGAATCTCCTATAAGACTTGTCAAAATGGTTGGCAAAGAGTGGATGCTCTTAAATATTTATTTATTATCCTGAGCTGGTCTATGATTCCTGTCACATCTGCTATGTGTGTGTGCACACATGTGTGTTTCAAAGCATTTACAAGTACTTATAATGGAATTAATTGTTTATAGTTAAATTTGTATATAGATGTAATATACATGCCATCTATTTGTAAGGAGCTAATAATCCATTTGTTCAGATGAAACATATATAGGTGAAAAGTTAACGTGCTTTGATCCCATAATTCCACAGGTTTGTTTGAGATTTTTGGGAGACACATACAGTAAAGGATCCATAATATAACCACTTGATGAATTTTTAACATTTGTTTTTGATAAAAAATGCACAGTTTATGCTTCCACCTAAACAGAATTCCATTTTTGATTAATAATTTTCCCAAAAATGTTATTTAGAAAATTTGTAAAGAAAATACAGCTGAGTAACATAAAAATGTTAACGCTTTTTTTTTCTGTGACCCTCTTATTTACCCCACCACCTTCCCACCTATTTTTCTCGCTTCCCTTAGAGTAGCCTGCAGACTTCCAGTGAGCCAGGGAATGGAAAGTGTAGCAGGCAGCATTCCAACACAGATCCAAAGTTCTCAACTCCTGGAGTACACACACTTTTCCCCAATTACCCAAATACAGTACCAATGTAAATGATGCTGTGAAGGCATTTCTTCTGATAATTAAGGCACCAAATCAGCTGACCTTAAAATAAGGAGATCGGGTGGGCCTAAACTAATCATGTAAGAGTTTTAGTAAAAACAGTTTCCTCTGACTGATCACAGAAGAAGAAATCAGAGATATATGCTCTAACGGTCTAGGAAATAGCAAATGTTCACGTGAACTGCCTATGGGGCCACTTGACAAGGAACTGTGAGTGACCTCTAGGAGCTGAGAGTAGTCCCTGGTTTATAGCTATATGAAAAATGGGGAGCTTAGTCTTACAGCAGCAAGGACATGAATGAATAAGAAAGGAGAGAGTGAAGGAAGAGGATACTGAGCCCCAGAGAATCCACAGCCTTCACCAACACCTATATTTCACCCTGGTAAGAGGCTGAGCACAGAATCTAACCATATCATGCCTGGACTTCTGATATACAGAAACTGTGAGGTAATCAATTTATGTTGTATTAAACCACTAAGATGAAGGGTAATTTGTTACCTTACATTTTCTGTACTATATTTTTGTAGTATAGAAAATGTTAAAGGTCCCAAGTTCAAATAGAAGATAAGAAAATGCATTAATTCTTGGCTTTTGCACTCATAGCAGCCTGCCATCAATTATTTAAGGAAATCTGTTTATAGCCATTTGTTCCCCTATCAGAGAGAAAGGAGATTTAAAAACATATATTGCCACACTGGATAGAAATGAGGATTCAGAGAGAAAGGAATGTATATGTTGCTACTGGGATAGTGACAAGGAGGCCTGAACCATGTTGAGCAGGAAGAAAAAGAAAAACTTTTAATGAGGAATCAGTGATCAACGTGAGGGGCTGCAACAGGGAGGGAACCTGTTGCTTTCTTTCAAGGGTATGTGGAGGTGCCATCAGAGCAGTAATAAAAAAGTAATAGGTTGTGGTTAATGGGCAGGTGGCTGAAGGCAGTTTCATGGAGTCTTTGCATGCCTAGTCTAAGCCTGGGGAAAATACCCACAAACCCACAAAGGGGAGTTGTTACTTGCCAACAGAAGGGAAAGTGACAGATGCTGACTGAGAACCATTGACTCCCCCTGCTTATGTCATGGCAAGGCCAACCTCTCTGATAGGAAGGCCATCCAGTGGGGAGGGGCGAGGAGAGAGACCCTGGCAGGACTGGGCAGTCACTGTTTTTGATACCTAGTAGGGACTAGATTAACTTTGTTAACCTTCAGGGGAAACGGAACCTTGAGAAAGAAGGTCAGCTCATTCACAGAAAAGAAAAAGTAAAAGTTGCATGAATGCCTGCCTGAGGTTGTGATAGTGAAAGTTGCACAGACACAAATCACTCTGAGTTTCTACAGGAAGCAAGGACACTTGGGCCTGCATTCAGGGATGTGCATTCTGGTGCTGTTTGTACCACTCGTTTATTGGGAGCAAGACAGTTTACTACTTCAGGTTTCAGTTTCTTCATCAGCCAAGCCAGAGGTTTGGATTAAACAATTCATAAAGTCTCCTTCAGCTCTTATATTTTTACTGGCTAGTGGAAGGAGCAAGAATGTGTTTTACAGTCTCATTGCTCAGAGCTTGCAATTCTTAGACTGGCTAATCTACCAGGAGCCAAGAAGATTTTGTTATCTGACTATTTGAATATGATAATAAAATCAGTGGCCCTCTAAGTTAAGAAATGGGACCATGTTGAATTCATAGAGTGACTATGCATCCTACCTTACGGAGAGAGAGTACAGTCCGGTCCTTTCATTGCTGTCCCTCAGAAGGTAGCTACCATCACATCCATTTGAGAGAAGGAGAGCCTCTGCCGCATGGCGAGTCAGGTTGCCGTGATACCACCTAGGAAGGAGAGAACAGTGTTTTCACTCAGGGCAAACTGCAGGGTGACCCTTCTTTTACTGGCTTTTCCTCTCAAAGATCACCTTGACAATACTCCCCACATAGGTGGCCCAGAGACCAAGCTCTCAACCGAAACAACAGCACAAGGAAATCACTGGGCTTGACTAAAGGGAAGAATAGAGAGAGTTGGCTACTAACTGTTATGGGTTGAATTGTTCTGAAAATTCCTAGGTTGAAGACCTAACCCCTGGAACCTCAGAATGTAACCTTATTTGGAGATAAGGTCTTTAGGAAGTTATGAGGTCATTAGCATGGGCCCTAATCAATATGATTGGTGTCCTCTTGTAAAAAGGGGACATCTGGAGAAAGACTTGCAAATAGAAAGAGTGTAAATGTGAAGACAACCATCTGCAAATCAAAGAGAGAGGGCTGCAATAGACCCTCTCTCACAACCCTCAGAAGGAACCAAACCCATTGACACCTTGATTTCAGGCTTCTATCCTCCAGACTGTGAGACAAGAAATTTCTTCTGTTTAAGTCACCCATTTTTTGATATTTTTGTCATGGTAGCCCTAGCAGACAAACATATAAAATTACTTGGTAAACAGGAAATCTTTAAAAGTCCAAGTCAAAAATAACTGGAAGAATAGGCTTTGGCCAATTTTCTTTCTTTCATTTGTTTTTCTCTCTCACAATCTCTCCTGCAAATGTGGCACCACCTTTTGCAGTGTGGAAATCACTGAGGTATTTAATACTAGAGTCCATTGTCATGAGGAATTCAGATGTTTTATATGAGATGCAAGCCACATTAAGTATTGTTTCAAAGTGACAAATATCTGTAGAGCTGAGGAAGTCCCAAGGATATTCAAATTGATCTATGGGTTAAAAAAAAAGGTTTAGAAAAGGTAACATACATCCATGATAGAAGAAAACAATCCCAAATGCTTTTCAAAAGAAGACATAGTGAAAATAAAAAAGCTTTCTATTCATCCTTAATGCTCAGTTCCCTTGTTCCTTTCTCTAGAGGACACCAGTGCTAACCATTTTCTTGAGTTTCCTCCTAAGAGATGTCCTATACATCCACAGCAGTGATTTTTCAGGCAGTGTGCTGCAAGAGGCACACTGGTGAGCCACACGAGTTTTTAAAACATGCAATCCCTGACTACTTACTCAGGGGCACTGACTTCTTTTCCTTTAGATCATCAGATAGAAAAATGACAACAGCTGACACAACAATAGCCAACTGGTGTGAATATCCTGACTTGAACCATAAATACATAGGAGTTGCATCTTATTGGTCATGTTGCATAATGTGGTTGTGTCTGATTGGTTAATTCTTGGTACCAGAAATCTTGGTACCAAGAAATCTTTATGTACAAGTATAAGCACTGATTTTTAAAAAGTCACTCTGGAGCAAAAAGAGTAGGTAATTACTATTATTATTATTATTATTTTGTAAATCAATCAAAATTATACCTATTTTTGTCAGATGGGCAAAAATATTTTTGGGTGTGCCACAGAATTTTAATAATTAGTTCATGTGTGCTACAAGATGAAAAAGGTTGAAAATTGTTGATCTAGAGACATTCAGATATGTCCCCTCTCCCAATTCCACGGAAACAGAGCATTCTAGACACACTTTTCTGCACCTCGCTCTTGTTCCCTTAAAGATTTGGAAACCTGCCACTTGCAACATTCCCAGTACTGACCTGGCCTTCCCTTCCCCCCACCACTCCTCACTCCTTTTGCACCCCTCTCCTTCCCATACACACACATATACCATTTTTATTTATGGGGCCATTACTCTACACCCTTTGTTGCTGCCAAAACCATATGGGCTGGGGCCAGGGCTGGACCGACAGATATCTCCTCCTGTGTGTGGTTGGAAAATTTTTTGTTTGGGTTTTTTTTCTCTTGAATAAAAAAGGTTCTACTTAAAAAAAAGACTTGGTGGAGGCAGTACAAGGTGGTGATTAGGATTGTGGCTTCTGGAGTTGGTTTGCACGAATCCCTATCCAGGTGATAACTCTTAGTAGCTTTACAAGTTACAAAACCAATCTGAGCCTCAGCTTTCTAACTTCTAAAATGGATTTATAATAGCCCTCATGGGTCAGCTGTGAGTACTGCTCACATTAAGACACATGAAATGGTCAAAACAGCCCTGGCAAACAGCAAAACTTAGTACACATCAGTTGTTAGCATGAAGTCACTGTGATCCAAAAAACCATAACTTATGATGTATCCTCTGTGGTGTGATTTTCTTGTTGCTCAAATATAATTTTGTATTACTTTTAATTTATTTCAGATAACAGAAAACTAGGTACCAGGGACTATTGCTACTGAAAGGGACCCATAGTCCAGGGCAGTGCGGGGGAAGGGGACATGGGCAGTTATACAAATAATGTCAATAAAGGAAATACTGTTAGTGAAGTGTATATAGTGTACAAGAATTTAGAAGAAGAGCCTAACTCTGGGCATGAGGGACCCTGCTGTCATGAGCCACACTAGTGTCCACTGTGATATCCCCATGGTCTGAAATTTTTAGCCTGATAAGAAAAACTAAACACAAGATTATCTGTGGAAGGAAGATTCTTCATAGGTCTCTAAGCTACTTGCTAAATATGTGTTTCTTTAGCTTATTTCCTCTTTGGGGCAGAGATATCTCCACCCTGTACTAGAAATGTATTTGCTAGCTGAAAATAATTACAAGGAAAAGCATTTTATTAAAAAACCTATTGAGTTATTTAGCCACAAAACAGCTTCATTCATTGGGCTGATTCACAGACAAGTTCACATCTTCTCACTACTCACATCTTCTCAAAATGCTTTCAAAGGACAATTGGAATCTAAAGCTAATATAATGTTGTATGTCAATTATACTTCAATAAAAAAAGACATTTAGAGGAATTAAAAGTGAAGCTATAAAAATACTTCAGTTTTGGCTACAATCAAAATTCTGGCTAATTTGATGGCTAACATCTCCACAAGGTCACAAGTTTTTAAATTCTTTGTGCCAACTAAAGAATTAAATAACTAAATTTTGGATGAACATTTCAGAATAAAATTTAGTTTGAGCCAGTAGATCATGAATTTGAAACAACAAAATTTGATCAACAAAGTTCTAAAATGTAAAGGATTTGGTCATTCATTTGGATTCTTTTCAACGAGATCTGAAGTCTGTATTCAAAGCATTTAAATACAGACTTCAAAAAGCAAATTTCTTCTGATAATTACAACCTGATGGCAGTTTTTTTTTCTAAGAAAATTTGTATGGTAATCTTTTAATAAGTTATATGTCATAAATACAGTAAATAAATAGTAAAAATTACTTGAGTATAAAGCAAGAAGAAGCACACTGTGCTCCAATTTGGGACATCTCAGTGAATATTATTTTCTGGGTAGCAGCTTGTTGAGTCAGTTTTGATGTCTCTTGTATTTTATCAAGTCCTGAGCCTGGGCAAACCTGAAACAGAGCCTACCAGACAGCCACTTACACACACTTCATAATGACTATGAGGCAATGAGGATCCTCATTCCCCAAACAGCTCTCCCATAAATGCCTGAACCTCATCTTTTACTTGAGTTAAGTAATTCTTTTCCAGAAACTTAGGATGAGCATATCTTCCAGGGAAGTGACTATACACCCAAGTAATATTACATATCTTTTATAGAAATACATCCACCTGTGTCCATGAAGAACTAAAGGTTAAAAATTGGTAGTTTCCTACCAATTTAAAAATTAAAGTTGGTAGTTTCCTCACAATCCATCTTCTCTACCCTGTATCGTTCAACCTCATAAGTCTTTATTTATTAAGCTTTAAATCTGTGCAAAGCATTGTGCAAGACACTGTACTGGGTAGGTCAAGAGGACAGAAATGGAAAAGCCCGAGTCTGGGCTTCAAGAAACCATTAATCTAGTCAGAAGGATGAGACAAATACTTTGCACACTGTATACTACAGAGTGAAGCACCCAACAGAGGTTTTGGGAAGAAAAATCAAGACCATTCCCTAAATGAGCCAATGTCAAAGTAGGCCTTCAAGGGCATGCAAGTTATTTTTTAGTGTGTATAATTTTTATGATACATTTTATGTAGTAAAAATTAAAATATATACACACAGAAGAGAAAGTGAAAGTTTTTCACTGAAGAGGAATTATGTGTTTTAAATAAAGTCTCAGTACTAAACAGAGAAATGAACATTAAAACAAAAATGTGCCATTTTCTTTATCAATTAGGTTGACTAAAATTGAAGAGTTAGATATTATTAACTATTAGAGAATTTGGGAATGATGGATATTATTGTCCATGGTTAGGAGGAATATAAACTGGGGGGGAATTCAGCATATCCAGTGTAACAGGACACGCACAGGTGACCAGCGACTCCATTTCTCGTGTCTGCCTAGCAGAATTCATGTGTGAGCGGAGGCAAGATGAACACAGGTGTTTGATGCAGACATGTTTGTGAGAGTAAACATTTGGAGCCATTGTAAATACCTGGTAATAGTGAGATGACAAGGTTGAGTGCTCATGGATGAGATTATGTAAAAAGTTAACTAAAAGTGTTTGAAAATATGTGAGTACATTTTTGGTTGTCAAATGATGAGGGCAGGGGATTGGGTGCTGTCAGCACTTTGTGAGGTGGGCTGCCAGGAATGCTTCACATTTTAACGAAGAATGATGAGTTCTGAGCAACCAAGAATTTTCCTGCTCAGAACACCAGTTACCCGCCCCCCACTGAGAAACACTGGGGGTGTTGTACACACACACACAGACACACACACACACACATTATCAGTTGATAGCTCTCAAAACATAGTGTTAACTTAGAGGAATTAGAGGTAGGGGCAGAATGATACCACTACTTGTATAAAATCACCCTTCTCTTCCTAAACTATTCAACACTTACATGTGTACATATAATGACAGGCAAGTGCATAAAATAAAGTATACACCAAAGTCATAAGTATGGTTTCCTTAATGGAAGGAACCAGATTGAGGGTG